AAGCCTCTTATCCCTAAAAATTACCACCACTCTGTAATGTCTGAAATCTTCATATCTCTCCAGTTTAAGGCTCTGTTAAAAGGCAAAACAAATGCCCTGTGAGAGGTAACATTTTAATTGTTATGGGTCATTTTATTCCTTTGTGGAAGTGTGTATTAGCTTCTTAGCAGTAGATTTTGTTGGAGAACAGAATATTGAATGCTGTGGGATGAAGTAGAGAAGAAAGAAGCATAATGTTATCCAAGACCCCTTTGGACACCTTGCCTGTTCTTCAGTTTTGACAATGATTGGTATGACAAACACAAAAAAGAATCTGATTAACAAGAAATTGATTTACAAATATTTTTTTCTATAATTAAAAAAAAGCTTCAAACTTATAGAAAAGTTATAACAGCACAAGAAACTTCTATATATTCCTTATCTTCACTTGGTAAAAGCACTATCATTGTGTCTCCCCAACTATTCATTCATTATATCTAGAGTTTGCTTAGATTTGAGTTTCCATCTGCTATCATTTCTCTTTTGCCCAAAGAACTTCCTTTAGTATTTCTTGTACAGCAAATCTGCTAGTGATAAAGCCTTTCAATTTCATTTATCTAAACATATTTGAATAGCTACTTTAAAGTCCTTGTCTGCTAATTCAACATCTGGGTTGTCTTGGAGTCAGTTTATGTTGACTATGTCAATATAGTCTTGACTATGGACTACATTGTCCCATTTCTTCTCTCTCTCTCTCTCTTTTTTTAAGATTTTGTTTATTTGACAGAGAGAGACACAGCAAGAGGGAACACGAGCAGAGGGAGTGGGAGAGGGAGAAGCAGGCTTCCTGCCGAGCAGGGAGCCCGATGCAGGGTTCGATTCCCATTTCTTCTCTTGATTGTGGATCTCATTTTCCTGTTCTTCTCATTCCTGTAATTATTTTATTGTGTATTAGACATTGTGGGTGATATGGTACAGAGATTCTAGATTCTGTTATCTTCCTCTGAAAAGTGTTGTTTTTGTTCTAGCAGGCAATTTGGCATGACTCAAACTCCATCTCTTCTGGTGGGCAGCAGTTGAAGACTGCTTATTTCTTTCAGTTTCTTAGCTGTTTTCTGCTAGGCTCCTTTCTGCCAGAGTCTCTCATTGTAGATTTGTAGTTCAGGGATCAGTCAAGGACTAGTCAGTATTTATATGCAGATTTTGGGGTTCCCCCTTCTGTGGTTTGCTTCTTTCTGTAATGCTCCTTCTCACTTTCCAGTCTCTCCACAAGCCCTGAGTTCTGTCCCATTCCTCAAACCTATTTCGCTGTAGCTTTCCACTTGAGTTCTAGCGATCTCAGCTATTAAACTAGGAAATACCTTCAGGCAGAAAACCATATAGACACAAATCTCAACCAATGCAGTCTTTTTCTTTCAAGGGTCATTTTCCTTCTGATTTGTCTGCTTATGGTTACCTTCAAATAGCTGTTTTTTATGTTTTGTTGTGAACTCAATCATTATCTGTAAGAGTTAGCCTTACACAATTAATTACTCTTCCATTACCAGAAGCAGAACCAGATGCAGAATACTTTTTAAAAACATAAAAAATAAAACATCAGTTCCACAAATTGTTACAAGCAAATTAATTAATTCAACAAGTATTTACCAGGCATTTACTTTGGGCTAGTTACTATGCTAATACCAGGTGCTAGAAAGCATTTGAGGTCTAAGAATTGTATTAGATTTTAGTCCACTTGAATGGACCTGGTTTTTTAAATCTCAAAATAAAATGTTATTCAGAGATACTTGCGATCACTTCCCCCAAAATGAATACATTAAACATACATTTACTTGTTCTGTCATAAATACTTTACCTTTATATGGTGCATTTTTTTCAAGAAATTCAGATTTCTGAGGCCAGAAGCATTTGCAGTTAAGTTTAACAACACCAACAGTTGGTTACAGTTAAAAACCTCTCTCTCTGTTTTCATCTTATTTTTCCTTCCTTTCCCCTATGTCCATCGGTTTTGTTTCTTAAATTCCGTATATCAGTGAGATCATGTAATTGTCTTTCTCTGATTGATTTATTTCGCTTAGCATAATACCCTCTAGTTCCATCCATGTCATTGCAAATAGCAAGATTACATTCTTTGTGATGGCTGCATAATATTCCATTGTGTATATATACCACATCTTCTTTATCCATTCATCTGTCAATGGATATCTGGGCTCTTTCCATAGTTTGGCTATTGTAGACATTGCTGCTATAAACAATTGGGGTGCAGGTGCCGCTTTGAATCACTATGTTTGTATCCTTTGGATGAATACCTAGTAGTGCCATTGCTGGGTCGTAGGGTAGCTCTATTTTTAACTTCTTGTGGAGCCTCCATACTGTTTTCCAGAGTGGCTGCGCCGGTTTGCATTCCCACCAACAGTGTAGGAGGGTTCCCCTTTCTCTACATCCCCACTATCTGTTGTTTCCTGAGTTGTTAATTTTACCCATTCTGACTAATGTGAGGTGGTATCTCATTGTGGTTTTGATTTGTAGGGCAGACCATAAGAAACTTTTAACTACAGGAAACAAACTGAGGGTTGCTGGAGAGGAGGTGGGGGGGAGGGATAACTGGTGATGGGCATTAAGGAGGGCACTTGATAGAATGAGCACTGGGTGTTATATGCAACTGATGAATCACTAAATTCTACCCCTGAAACTAGGGAGAAAAAAACAAAACAAAACAAAACCCAACTTTCTTCAGCTAGTTTGAAATGTGTCAAAATGTTTTTCATAAAAATCCCTGTGATGGAGCCACTCTTTCCTCACAGCGAAACCTCTGAACTCTGAAACTAGAAGCATCAAAAATAAAAGTGAACAACACAGAGGGCCCTCAGCATCAAACTGGGGGCAGGCTACGACCAATAAGCCTGGACAGTGAGCAGCCTCCCTTGGATTTATCTCCCCTTCCCACCTAGAATGTGGAATGTTACGAATCTATATAATCGGCTTTCGTTTTTTACTATATCTGAACAAAATAAAGGTGGAGAATACATCAGTACGAAATCCGATACTAAAAGCTCATTTATTTTGGGGTGAAAGGTCAAGGACAGGAGGATGAGCTGTTGCTGAGTTTCCACATGGCCTCAGGAGGTCGTAGGGCTTACCCCCTTGGTTCTGGAGCCTCTTGCCTCATCCTTACTCTCACATCCTCATTCAAGACTGTGCCGCGCATAGACTTGCAGGAGGCTGAAGAGCGACAAGAGGGGTAGGAAAATTTTCTTGCTTTATAGTTTTGTATAGGTTTGGCTCTGGCTTTAGGGGGGCGGGGGGGGGGGGGGGGGGTTCCAGTGGGAAACAGATTTAAGACTAAGCTCGAGTTCCCACTCTGGGATCCTCACAGTTTTACATAGGCTGGAGGTGAGCCAAGTGTCCTTTCTATCTCCATTTGGTTTTTCAGCCCCTCTTCCTGTTCTGATTCTATTACTAGACTAGCATAGCCTCTAGAAGATCACAGGCAACTAGCACAGAGTCTATACACAACTGCTTGTTGAACTAAGGACTTGGCTCCATAGACTATACTTTTGTCCCTTCCCCCTTTAATTATATTTTCTAAGTTAAATGTATTCTCATCTTAATCATGGAAATGACTTCTATTATGGTAATTTTATCTATTTCTCCTCCATCCTTAAAATAGTTCTGACATTACAGCAATTCAACTCTGCATTTCATTTATGAATCATAAATAATTCCACCTGAATAGGTCAATAGCAAACATCTGTGCCCTCTGGAGGCCAATGTCTTCCCTTAGTGCAGCCGGCTGGCATTAGCTGAACACCCACTGATTTACCATGACAGAGCTGTGAGCCCACAGAGGCTGACCAGTGCCTACTGCTGAAGACCTGCGTTAACAAGAGAAGAAACGAGGAAAAGGAGAACACGAGTGTTAGTTACCAGTTTATTAGTCATTCCCGTTTTCTTCCAAAGAAAATAGTTCCACTGAACCCTTGGATGGGTGGGGTGGGGTGGGCAGAGGAGGAACAATCAGCTGGTGTGGCTTTGAAGTGTGGCTGCAGGGCTTCCAGCCCTTTCCCAGCTCAGCTGTTGAAGCAGGGCAGCAACTTCAAAGGCAGACTTGCTGTTGTTCCTGCCGGGGGGGGGGGGGGGGGGGGGGGGGGGGGGGGGGGTGATTCCCATTGGTTGGCTTTAGAGAAAAGATGAGGAGGAATTCATCCTTTTCTTTGCAAAGGTTTGATGCTCAACAAAGGATCTACCAGCTTTTGATTCTGACTGTCTCTACCTAGTGGGTGCAAATCAACAACAACCGCAGTCAATTTCATTGGGATTTACATTTATTTATGTACACTATTTTTACAAATCATCTGAGATGGTCAATTTTGTAATTTGTCCAGATTGTGCAACATGTGATACAAGGAAACTGCTCCTAATTACATTTTCTGCTCAAAGACATATAAAGTGGCTTTCCTAGGAGCAAAGCAAAGTTTAAGAAGATTGCCCCCTTGCTGCTCTACGACCCCTTGCCCGTGATTATAACTGTTTACATCCTAAAGTCCGTTTTTCATTCTGTGTATCGGTAGTGCATTCAGACTCTTCTGTGAGTCAAGAAAGACTTATTCCATTTAGTCAACAATTCACCTTGTACAAGAGAGACATTTTTGAATACTATAATTAAAATTTAAAAGCAAATGTAATTTCCCTCAATAATTTTATTTGGTCTATCTAAATCTTTCCATTTAAAATTTAGGTTCTTTACTTCACAATTATAAAGGGAAAAGGAAACAATCCTTGAAATATTAACTCTCTTTTTTTTAAGATTTTACTTTTTATTTATTTGACAGAGAGAGACACAGCGAAAGAGGGAACACAAGCAGAGGGAGTGGGAGAGGGAGAAGCAGACTCGCCGCTGACCAGGGAGCCCGATGCGGGGCTTGATCCCAGGAACCTGGGATCATGACCTAAGCCAAAGGCAGACACTTAACCGAGTGAGCCACCCAGGCGCCCCTAACTCTAACTCTTAAAATTAAGAATAGCTTTGATTCAAAAACTAATTGTTGGACAGTGATGTGGACGGGTAAATTTCCCTGCCACTACCTCCCACTAACTTTTATTTAAATAAATATGAAAAATTAGATAAAAACATTTCAATGTACGGTACAAGATATGAGAGTCTTCAGGGAAGTTTATTATGCTAGAAAAGTGTAAGTAACCAGACAGTCACATTAAATGAGAGTTACATGACCAAAAAAGCAAGTTGCCAACACCAGTAGAGAGGTGCCCATTTATTCAGCAGCATGGCTCCAGCATGGTCCAAGGAAGACTGTTCTGGTGGGAATGAAACTGTGGGATTTAAAACAAACAAACAAACAAACAAACAAACAAACTCCTGGGAACACAATGAAGGGAAAACATTCCAATCACAGAAAGCTTCCACAATTAGCAGATGGGTATGCTTCATGAAGAGAGTAGAAAAGACAGTCTCCTGTGCAAGTTCGGAAGAAGCAAAGATCGTTAATTCAATTAAAGTGCAGTGACGACAGCAGGGAGAACACAAATCCGTCCACTATCCATATTACATTCATCACAGAATACAATTGAAGAGGATGATGTTCTTCCAATGACTGGATTTTTACTTTTTAATTTTGCAAAAATGTTTAAATCAAAGTAGCATAATCTCAAGTCTCTCTTCCAAAATGTATTTTTATTCCTGACTGATTGTATCCTGAAGAAATCAAAGGTCTTCACAAGGTAAAATCACCATCTCTGGTTATATTCTATCTTCCTAAGTATGTACAGACTCTCTGCGTCCAGGTATTTTGACTGCTCCCCCCCACCTTTTTTTGTATAACAAATGACTTGGAGATGTAATTTTAAAAAGCAAAACAAAACGAAAAAATGACAAGTGAAATGATTTTAGGGACATAGGGTTTAAAAAGAAAATGCTGTTCATGGATTTAGTATATTTAGGAGCTTACTACCAGACTGCTGAACCATTACTTATGTTGTTCATTTTCTGTGATTTTATTCCAACGAGAGTTGCACACTGTCAGCTTGGTTTTGTGGCTGCTGATAGTCATACTTCCTTGCTATTAAAAAACAAAACACAACAACAAAAGAAAGAGATAAAATTAATAAAAATAGCAAAATAATTATTAGCTAACATCATTAAATTGCAGTCATGATTCTCCGTAAAGAATTAGCTTAGAATTAAATAATTTTTTTTCATTAGAGGAAATTTATTATACTTTGTAATCCTTAATTTCTCAACACTGCTGATATCCATTTTTATATATTTACTTTATTATTATTATTTGTATAACAGGGTTATTCAGAGCTTTAAACTATAAGGCAACCATTAAATAAGTTATTAAATTAATATTTTTTAAAAAAGATTTTATTTGTTTATTTGAGAGAGCGTGTGTGCACGAGTTGGGGGAGGGAGAGGGACAAGCAGACTCTGCGATGAGCGCGTGGAGCTGCATGCGGGGCTCGATCCCACAACTCTGAGATCATAACCTGAGGCAAAATCAAGTCAGATGCTTAGCGACTGAGCCATCCAGGCGCCCCAAGTTAAATTAACATTTTATAATTTCCTTCCTTCTTATCTCCCACTTCCACCTTAAGATAAGTTAATAGTAATGTTTTTGTCTGCATCATAAGGAATTTGTATTTCAACTTTTAAGTCTAAGAGACTTATTATTGAACATTGTCATTGATATAAACTAGAAGAAAAACAGATACTCATTCTGTATATTTTTTGTACTTCTGAGAAATGTTTATTGAAGAAGAACGGTTTTAACCTGCAACTAGAGAAAGTATGGAGTTAAAATCTTTGCAAATGCCATTCCTTGCCTAGAGTTAAAACTTTCACTCTATTCTTTAAGTTTTAACTAGCCAAGAAAGAGATACTATTTATTTATGCTACTCAGGGTGCATCCAAATTTTTGTGGCCTAAAGTTTATACAATTTTGGGAGTCCTCTTTAAGAAAAATAATTTTGTTTGTTATTTCCTCTTGAACTGCCAGACCGTCAGGACTAGATAGGTCACAAACACTAAGAATGATCCAATGTGATGGGATTCATTAAATGTGCAAATCCACACATATACTATTTATAAGAAAAATGGCTTCTAAAGATGTTTGCATTCTAGTCCCCAACATCTGTGAACATGTTACTTAACAGGACAAACAGGACTTTGAAGATGTGATTAAGGTAAGGATCTTGCGAGGGGGAGATTACCCTGCATTGTCTGGCCCAACCTAAACACAGGGGCCTTAAAAATTAGAGACCCTTTCCTTAGTGCAGAGAAAGACTAAGAAATAAAAAAGGAAGAATGATCAGAAAGATTAAATGCTGCTGGCTCCCAAGATGGAGGCAGAGGGCCATAAACCAAGGAATGTGGGTGGTCTCTAGAAGCTGGAAAAGGCAAAGTTACAGACTCTCTTCTAGAACCTCCAGAAAGAGTACCCTACTGACACCTTGGTTTCAGACTGTTGTAGGACTTTTCCGCTACAAAACCGTAAGATCGTACATTTGCGTTCTTTTAAGCCACAGGATTTGTAGTAACTTGTTACAGCAGCAGTAGAAAACCAACACACCTTACAAACACAGGAACTCTGATAAATTATATTTTATGGCATTGCCATCAAAGAAGAAAAAAACCTATACACTTGGCTTGTAATAGTATATGTTATGTTACTGAGTGTATTACTGATAGGAAATAGCTTTGTTTTGACTGGGCATCCATGGAAACTTAATTCTTTATAATTTTCCATATAGAGCTTCTGGGTCTGTACTTTTGTTTTTTAGTATTTAAGTTTTTTTAAAGAACGTTTTTTATTGTGGTAAAAAATACACAAATATTGCCATTTTAACTATTTCTCGGTGTACAGTTCATAATGCTGTGCAACCCTCACATCCTCCAACCACAGAGCTCTTCTGATCATCCCAAACTGAACTCCACACCCATTAAACAACAACTTCCCACTCCCTCTGGCAACCATCATTCTACTGTCTCTGCGAATTTGCCTCCTATAAGTAAAATATGTGTTCTTTTGTGACTGGTTTATTTGCCTTCATAAGAACAATTAGGAAGCGTAATGTCCTCAGGTTCATCTGTGCTGTAGCATGTGTCAGAATTTCCTTCCTCCTAAAGACTGAATAACATCTTATTGTATTTACCACATTTTGTGTATCTGTCAAGGACACTTGGGTTGTTTCCGCCTTTTGGTGATTGTGAATAATGCTGCTTTGTTAAATTTTACTTATTTTGAACTGGTAACATATGCAGATGGTACAAAATGCAAAAGGAACAAAGAGGAAACAGTAAAAAGCGTATCTTCCTCCTATCTGATCAATCCTACAGCTACCCACCCACTTCCTTCCCCTAAAGGAACTGCTCTCACCAGTTAAGATAAAATTTGTGCTTAAGACTTTAGAGGTTCTACTTGTGTTTATGCATGTATATATATGTATATGTACACACGTGCACACACACACACTTTTCTATTTCTCACCTGAAATTCTATTCCACCCAAGACATATACTGGTGATATTTTGATGATCATCCTTTCATGCTTTTTTTTTTATTTTATTTTATTATGTTATGTTAGTCACCATACATCATTAGTTTTGTTTTTTGTTTTTTTTTTAAAGATTTTATTTATTTATTTGACAGAGAGAGACACAGCGAGAGAGGGAACACAAGCAGGGGGAGTGGGAGAGGGAGAAGCAGGCCCCCCGCTGAGCAGGGAGCCCGATGCGGGGCTCGATTCCAGGACCCTGGGACCATGACCTGAGCC